TTTAATTCATTTTACCTTTTTGGAAAAATCTTGCCTTAACCCACACACACCATATGAGCTAGTGTGGAATCCGGGGTCATAAGACCCTACACCGACAAAGAAGGTGAACTACTTGCCAAGGTAGTTCCGAAATATGAAACATATCAACTACGTGGATCCACTAGCTAGCATTTGTATGGGGGAAACATAGTTCAAGAACTAGGAGGTATAGTTGGGACCCTCTTTATGCACCATGCATTATAGTCTCCAATCTCTAGAGTAATTAGTGTTCTACCTTCCTTATATGGAAAGGGACACTCCTCAATCCAGTTCACTCGGTGTGAAGCTAGAGTCCCTTTTTGAAATGTCTTCAAGCATTTAATTATCAATCATAGCTTAGTTTAGGTCATAGGGTCTACCTCTTTTATAATCATCATCATCAATAGATCAATAAGAATGGTATGAGTGCAAGTCATTTCATCACAATTCAATAATATGAGGTTAACATATTACATAGCATTTCATAATAAGACACATTAATATACATCACCACCTTTATAACCTTTATATCTTAACAACGTCACAACCATAATCAAGACATTTCAATTCAACATCATACGACCCTATAAATCCTAATACAAGGCATACTCCAATACAATATCATGACTTAACCACAATTAATCACAATTGAAAGTAAATATAGAGATTCTAAGACTTACCAAGTCTTCCTCATAGTTCACCATCAAGGTCTTACCATCAACCAATAACTCAACCCAATTAGGGGAGAAACATCATCACACAATGATAACTAATAAGATAAAAAGTCCAATTGCATCTCTATAACACAATTCAACACAAAACTTTAGCTTAAGACATTATACGTAGGCCAATTTCACAATATACTCCATAACCTAAATCAAATCTCAAGAACTATCATGATAGACATATAATTCATATTAATTTATTCATAATAAAACCATAGTATAGTAATCTAATCAATAACCAAGTCAATTGAATGATCACAATACAATATAGGTGAAGATCACAATCTAGGGTTATGGTTGAGGTCATGTTCTTCAATTTATACCAAACCATCAACTGTTATCACAATTAATTTAAAATACATGTAAATATACTGAATTTAACGTAATGAAACCTTTAACAACTAAATTCATAACCTTAATTTCGTAATTGGATGAAACCCATAAAAAACTCAACTTTTGAAATCCATTTTGAAGGAACCCTTTGAGGAAAGAGTCTCAAAGGTGAATTAGATCACATACCTTAACATTTGATAAAAATTTCATGGTGAAGTCATACCTTTACAGCCCCCAAACCCTTATCCTTGCTAGTTTTCAATGGTGAGTTCAAGTAGAGAGAGAAAGAAGAGAGAAGGAAGATAGTTTGTATTGAGAGTCGTAATTAGATTAATTGGGATTGGGGCCTTTATATGGGAGTTTAAGTTAGTAAATTGGTCTCCCCTTAATCTCTAACTAACCCCTAAAACACTTAATAAATTAAATGACTTAACACTAGAATGTGCAGGAAAATCAACCCTCACAGACGGAACCCCGCCGACGGGCCGTCTGTGAGTCTACGGACCAACCCCCTCCTATCTACACTCCGTCGATGAGTTCAGAGACAGTGAAGGTGAAAGTATTCCTAATTTTGACTTAAGTGTGGTACAAAAGTGGCACCTATGCCCCGTCCGTCCGCACACGAACCGTTTCCAACCTTGTTAATACACACTACGCATGCAGTGTTGCTTCAAACTTCAAGGGTCCTCCTCAAGGGCCTTTGGTTTGTCCATGGGGAGTCGTAACTGGGTGTCCCGACCATGAAACAACTCAAACACCTATTATATACTTTTTTCCAATTTTCATACATTTCCGGCTTCTAAAAGCTAGTCAATTAGGCTAAGGCACACTAGTACCCCTTTGAACGAACATCCGAACGTCATGGACGTTCTTGGACGGTTTAATTCTTAAACTTCCTAAATGACCTATATTTATTAGAATGGACTTTAAAAAAGCAATACTTAGACCTCATGACACCTATGTTAGGATTTACGACACGCCATGAATTTTCAAAATGTTACACTCCCCCACCCCTAAGAAGAATTTAAGTTAATTATTAAAAAATACTATCAACTTAAAATTTTCATTTTTTCACCCGTACCCTCGACCCCCACCCCCACCCCCACCGCTACCCCCCAAAAAAATTGATATTTTTTTTTTTAAAAAAAAAACGCAACTTCAAATTTTAATATTTTTCACCCCTACCCTCGGATCCCCCACCCACACGCCCCTCCCCCTACCCCTCCCCCACAAAAAAATTAAGAATTTTTTAAAAAAATATTTTAAACGTCAAATTTTCATCTTTTCATCCCTACACTCACCCCCCCTCCCTCCCTACGACCAAAAATAATTAATATTATTTTAAAAATATTCAAATTCAAATTTATTTGTTTTTTCACCCCTACCATTGACCCCCACCCCACCATGGAAAAAAAATTAAGTTTGTTATTTTAAAAAAATTCAACTTCACTACTTATTTACTACTCTTTTAAAAATTAAAAGATATTTCTCAAAAACCAAACAATAAAATATTTTTCCGGAAAATATTTTCTAATCACCAACTAAACTTGAGATAATACGTCAAATATCTACTTGTTTTTCGGGAAAACATTTTCCTTAATACCAATCACACCCCAAATCTTTCCTTCTGATCCTCTCATAAATCAGATCTAAAAATTAGAAGCTAAGAAGGTGGAAGAATGAGTACTTCAAGACTTTTCTTTGAGTTTCATTGAGTCTACATTCCGACAATCCATGAAGTAGGGGACGTTACTAGACATTGATTTTTTTGGGGACTCTACAAGACCTGTTCAATTAGAATTGAGACTCTAGAAGGTTTATTAAATTTCAATTTGAATTCATCGAGACTAATCAACCATTAACACTAGTTTATGACTATATAAAGGGTAGGGATAAGACATAAGTACCCCCTAGACTATGACAAAAATCCCAGGGACATACCTTAACTAAATTGACGTCATGTTACCTCCCTAAACTTATTTTTTAATATTTTTGTAAACCTTTTTTTTTACGTGGCACACTCTATGACTCCACACAATTGAGGCACGTGGAAGATATGTTGATGCCACGTAAGCTAAAAAGGTGTACAAAATTACAAAAACAAATGGGTTGGTAATAGGACATTAGATTAGTTAAATTTGTCTCCGTAATTTCGGTCATAGTCTAGGGGGTACATGAAGCCTTTTCACTAAAGGTATAAGCACGAGAAATATGCCACTAACAGCACTCAAATCATGGATATCCTAGGAGAGTGGGATGAATGGAAAAACAGAACTGTACCCCCACTATCTTCATGAATAAAATTATTTTTATTCATATTTTCTTACGATTTTCTTTTTCACTTTAAAATTTGTTGCAAACATTTGACTTTCTTTTCTTTGATGTTGCTAGGCATAAATTTATGTCATGTTACTCCCTGAATTATCTCTTAACGAGGATGGAAATGTTTCTTTTACATAATCTTTGTTTATCTAACATGACTTATCAAAGACAAAACAAAGATAAGTGACTTCGATGGTTACTTACTACAAGTTGAATTATCATTTACGCAATCAACTCTAAATTTCTTTCGTATTTCTTTCGTTTCTTCCTATAGTAAAAGTAGAGTGCAAAGTAGCTTTAATATGTCGTTCAATTGCAACATTCTGGGTATGACTCGAATCTTTATATTTATATTTGACAAAGAAGAGAAGAATCAGAACAACAAAGAGGTGAATATTGGAAATAGGAGGATGAATATTCTTTCAAAATATGTTAAGATTGAGGGCTATTTATTCTCCTAAACTAATTTCTTTCTTATTGAAAAATTCAAGTGCCAAATGCTTTTTCTCATTTGTATGCACTTTTTTTTCATTTCCCACCCGGTATTTCACTACCTACACTTGAGCCCGGATAAATTTGAACTCACGTCGGGAAGTACCATTGAGGGATGAAGCTCCCTAACAAAAGCAACTCTCCACCCAAGGAGACACGAACCCGAGAACCCTTGTTGTAGGGTAAAGAAATAGTTACCACTCTTTATTTCAGCATTTGAGCAAATTAATTTTCTTGCCATTTTATGCTCCTTACAATTTAGTTATGTCATGAATTTGCTTATTTATGCTCATCTTTACCTTCCCAATGCTATTTTTCTATTTTCGCCGCTTCTGTCATAAATGTTAAGTGAATTACATTAAAAGTATAAAATATATAAATGTATTCCTTAATTGACTTCAATTCATATTTATGCTCTCCATGTTTGAATATTCAAAAGTAGACACTCTAACTTCTATAAAGTTGAACGATTAGACACATGAGTTCTATGTGTCATAATGCACGTAGGACACGACACACAACACAAATTTCCATGAAGGATGCAACGTATAATGTGTGTGTCTATTTATCCAATTTCAAACAATTTTATGTGTTAACTTGTGCACACCCAAAGTGAAGGGCGTAAATGTGAAATGAGGTCAATTAAAAGGGTATATTCCTACCTAAAATATTATATTGGAAGAGTAAATTATGTACATGCCTGACTTCTCATTTTGCAATAGCTAGTAGCTAAAAACTATTGTATTGGATGTGGACATACTAGTGGATGTTTTTGTCTCATTAATTATGTTTGAGCGAAAAACATTCCTTTCCTCCTCTAGCCTATTGGAGATATATCTTGAAGTTATTGTATATTATTTGTATTCCTTATTTACAGATTTGGTTTCCATAGATTTAGCTTATTCATAGCAGTTGAGATCTTTACTTATATATTTGATTGATTGCATTGATTTCCATCCTGTTCCTTATGGATCCACCTCTTGTATAAATACTCTATTCTATTTTGATAAATCAATGCTTCCCTCTTCAGTGAACTGCTTTATGGTATTAGAGCTATTCTGTATAACAACCAAAACATTTTTGGGAACTAAATTTTTTTTGTCAGCAGCCATGGCTCTTGATTCCCTCCCAAACCCAACAAATGAAGCAACTTTAAATTTTTGGGCTCCCTCCAACAACATCATCTCCTTGAACAATAATAACCAGCTTACCATAACCAACTACCAATCTTGGCAATATCAATGGGAAACAGTAATTACTTCCTATGATTTTCTTCCGTTTATTAATGAACCCCCATCAACCACAGCTATCTCTGTCTATAAACGACAAGACCATCTCATTAGAAGTTTCATGGTTGCATCCCTCTCACCAGAAATTATACCCTTTGTTACTGATAATAAAACTTCTTATGCGCTTTGGCACAATCTTGCCACGACTTATACAAAACCGTCACATTCTCTCATAATGAGTTTGCGAGAAGACTTGAATACTATTCAAAAGGGAAATCTCTATATTACTGTTTACTTCAAGAAAATCAAAGAGATTTGCACCAAGATTGCTTCCATTGGTGTTCACATCTCCGCTGATGATGTTTTTCTTCATGTCGTACAAGGCCTTTCTTCCGAGTATGATAGCATTGCCTCTGCACTTCGTGCTCGTGAAACAGCCATAACCTTTGAATAGCTTCATGAAAAGTTGACTGACTACGACACACACTTGACTCGTCGGTCATGCCAAGTTGTGGCACCAATCGTGACGACCTTTGCTGCTAAACCTCCTGCCTCTACCAACCGAAATTCCAATCGAGGTGCCAATAATTGACTGTCCAATCAAAGGAATTTCTCTACTACCAATCAGAATGGAAATGGAGGTTATCAAGGATGTCATTCTGGTAGTCAAAATAATCGACCCAGGGTCACTTGTCAATTGTGTGACAAACATGGCCATCACGTGAAATAGTGCAAAAAAATACTCTCCATTTTATATGCTGTCACAAGTACTAAACCCAATGAATCTTCAAGTAACTTCAACCGATCTAACGATCAGCAGCCTATAGCTAACTTTGCTGCACAATCCACCAATACAGACCCAAATGGCTTGTTGATTCTGGTGCCTCTCACCATGTTAACCAAGACTTACAAAACCTTTCTTTTTACTCTGAATATGATGGCAATGAGGATGTCATGCTTGGTGACGGTAAATCTCATAGGATTACCCATACACGATCTACTCTTCTACCCTTTACCTCTACCCCTCTTTATTTAAGTAATGTTTAATGTGTGCCTCACATGAAGAAGAATATCATCTTTGTTTATAAATTGTGTAGCAATAATCATGTTTCGGTTGATTTCTCATCTTCCTCATTTGTTTTGAAGGATTATTGTACGCGGGCACCACAGGTAGCAGGGAAGACTAAGGGTAGTGTGTATACATGGCCTTCATAGTCCAATATCCAATCTATATCTAATGCTCAATCCAACACCACTTCCACCACCACTGCTCCCAACAGGAATCAACGTCTCGATCACACCTCCACTCCCACTCTTTGTCATATTTTAAAGCTTACGAATATTTCTTCATCTTTAGAGAAGAATTTCTCTTGCAATTCTTGTAAATGCAATAAAATGCATAAAACTCCCTTTTTTAACTCCTCAATACAACGTTTGCTCCTTTAGAATATATTTATTCAGATGTTTGGGGCGATGCACCGAAGTATCTACGGATGGTTTTTAATATTCTTTAATATTTGTGGATTCATTATACGAAATATATGAATTATGGAGAAATTATTTCAAAAGCCCATCACATGTTTTTATTCTAACAACGGTGGGAGTTCCTTCATCTCCGTTCATTCTTTGAAAAACATAGAATATCCCAGTTTCTCACCCCTCCCTACACACCAGAACATAATGTCACTACCGAGCGTCGTCATCGCCATGTTGTGGAGATAGGTATCACATTATTACACAATGCCAATCTTCCTCTAAGGTTATGGTCTTATGCCTTTATGACTGCTTCCTACTTAATCAATAGCTTGCCCACCCAAACATTAGATGGAGATTCACCTTATTTCATATTATAAGGTACTCTCGCAAACTACAACAAACTTCGTGTCTTTTGTTCGTTATGTTATCCATGGTTGTGTCCTTACAATCAGAGTAAATTAAAGCCTCGCTCTACTCCTGCATATTCCCAGGCTATTCACTAAATTAGAGTGCTTATAAGTGTTATAATCATGTAAATTCTCGCCTTTATTTATCTCATCATGTTGATATTGTGGAACACTCTTTCCCTTATATTTCTTTTGAACAAACAGAAAGCAGACCATAAAATGACACTGTTGACTTAGATTCACAACCACTTTATTATTCCTCTTACTCGTGACCAACCTTCATCTTTCACCTCTCCTGTGGCCTCTACTACACCGCCTCTTGGTTCCACATCTTCCAACAGAGCACCTGACAAGGCTTCTTCATCAAACGGAACTAGGAATTCATCCAATCAACACTCAGGTATATCTCTTCTCATTCATCATATCTAATAGCTTTACCTCTTCAGAGCCCTCCTTACTAGATAACATAAATGATTCAGATCAAAATTCCAGCACTAAACCCTCTCATCCCATGACTAATTGATCAAAGAATATCATTCATAAACCCGTTCAGGAGTTGTGTCTATTTGCTATTGTTCATGATTCTGCCAATCTCAATGTATCAAATGTCTCACCATTACCCAAACCATCCCAATTATCTCCAACAACCAAAACCTCCAACAAGCCAAAAATACCTTCTTCCCTACCCATGCCAATAGAACCTCACCCTGTTTGTCAAGCTTTAAAAGATCCAAATTGGCATGCTGCTATGACTGCAGAGATTTCAGTATTGCAAAGTGAAGGTACTTGTCTCTTATTCCATCTGTCCCTCATGCCAAACCGGTGGGCTCCAAATGGGTATTCCATGTTAAATATAATTCTGATGGTAGTTGGACTCAACAAAGCTTAGTTAGTTGCTAAAGGTTATCTTCAACGACCTAGTGTGGATTATTTTGAGACCTATTCACGTGTTGCTAAACATACTATAGTGGGAGTTGTTCTTTCTCTCGCAGTCTCTAAAGATTGGGCGCTTAGGCAATTAGATGTGAATAATGCTTTCCTACATGGACATTTATCAGAAGAAGTTTACATGTCTCAGCCACCTGTATTTGTCGATGAGAAGTTTCCTAATCATATTTGTCAATTAGACAAGGCTATCTATAGCTTCAACCAGGCTCCACGCGCCTGCTATGTTGAAAGAAAAGACTATCTTCTATCTCATGGTTTTCATCACTCTAAGTGTGATCATTGTCTTTTCATCTATGGAAAATCTGGTGTTATCATCTATCTAGTTGTTTATGATGACGATCTCATAATTACGGGCAATCAGTCTCACAATGTTGAAGAATTTATCAAACAAGTCGGTACTCAGTTTTCCATAAAAGAACTTGGAAATTTGAATTTCTTTTTAGGAGTTGAAGTTATTCATTCAACACTTGGTCTATTTCTTAACCAAAAGAAATATATGTTCAATATACTTGATAGAAACAACATGGCAGACGCAAAACCAGTGAGGACACCTATCACTTAAGGTTCATATCTAGGTTCTACAAATGGTCCACCTTTTGAAGATCCAACATAGTATAGGAATGTAGTTGGAAGCTTGAATTATTTGATGTTAACTCATCCAGATATTGCTTTTATAGTTAATAAGTTGTATCAGGTTACAAGTTGTTCCACTAAAACCTATTGGACCACGGTAAAACGTCTCTTGCACTATCTAGCTTGGAGATTAGACCGTGGTCTATTTCTTCAGAAAGAATCTCCATTTTTACTTCATGCCTACTCTGACTCAGATTGGGCTGCGGATCACGATGATCACTCATCTACTATAGCGGATGTTGTGTTTCTTGGCTGTAATCCAATTTCATGGAGTTCTAAGAAACAATAAGTTGTGGCTCGTTCTTCGACGGAGGAAAAATACAGGTCCATCACCTCCCAACTGTTGAACTTTGTTGGGTGCATAATCTTCTCAAGGAGTTATCTGTTACTCCCGCTAAGACACCGGTAATCTACTGCAATAATCTTGGTGCTACATACGTTTGTGCTAACCTTGTGTTCCATGAAGCACATTGAACTTGATTATCATTTTGTTCGTAAATTAGTCCAGTAAGGTATTATTCTGGATTCTCATGTTTCCTTAAAGGACCAACTAGCTTATATGCTTACAAAACCTCTTCCAAGTGGATCTTTTGAGCTGTTACATTCCAAGATGGCATCTCTAGTCGACCTACTATCTTGCGGGGGCATATTAGAGATATATCTTAGAGTTATTGTCTATTATTTATATTCCTTTTTCACAAATTTAGTTTCCATGGTTTTAGCTTATTCATAGAAGTTTAGATCTTTACTTATATCTTAGATTGATTGTATTGATTTCCTTCCTGATCCTTATGGTTCCACCCTCTTGTATAAATACTTTGTTCTTTATTAATAAATCAATGCTTCCCTCTACAGTAAACTGCTTTATAGCCTTTCTTGTAGATCTAGAAACAAGCAAGCACCGAGGGAGGAAGAAAGTGTATTCGAGAATTACTTAGACATTTATAGTAATCAATGATTTGTGAAGATTGCAACATTATTGTTAAAGTACCACATCTATTGGATGGAAATATGGACTCCTTATATGGTCTTTGGTAATATCAAGAATTAGTGAAGATGCTAATAAAATTGAGTCAAGAAATATTTCTTTGACTCTTGTATATGCGGCAAAGAAACAATCTCATCCTCAATATTCTTAACATCATCACCTTTTTTTTAATAAGGATGGATAATATCTTGAAGGAAGGATGTCGAAATCCCTCATGAAATATAGAAATTGGACGATTAAGAGAAGAAGATATAGGAGATAGTTGGACAAGGTGAATTCCTATATACGTGGAAGTTGGAACTATCATTTTCTCGATCCCTAATATATTTGGAGTTTCATGATACGTTGTTTAGTTAGAGTAGGCTAGATCTTATATTGATTGGAGAATGAACTAGTGGTCTACTTATATGAATCTGGACCATCCACCCATATAAGCTAGCTTTATGGGGTTGACCTAGTTCCAGATGCCATAGTTTTACATGTTTCGTGTTTTCGTGTTGTTTACACATGATATAGGACCACGTGGTGATGCCATTTAATAATTTCAACTGATATTCCTATAGAATTCAGATGCATAGGAGGCTCATTTGCATAGCTGAATCTCCTCACACTTATCTCCTCTTTTCTTCTTGTCCACGTCATTGGCTTGAGATCTGAATGTACTATTATCTTTTCCGCTTCCAATACTCAAGGGTATTTTTTTAAATTTTCTTTCCATGTCCACCTGAAGAGTTTTACTCAATGCAATATACTCACACAAACTCAACAATCCAAGCTGCAATAAAGAAAATGAAGAGTCAACATTTTAGGTAACCTTTCAGTTTCTTGATTTTTGTCTTTCAAATCATTATTTGGTGTACAACTATTGTATAGTGTGACCTCTCTTCATAAGTTTAGGTATATGTCTCTACTGCTATAGGTATTGAAATGTTCAAAAAAAATTTATGGATCTATGCTTTTTTTTTAAAAAAAAATAGAAACGCACTAGAGGAGAGCTACACA